TGATTCAATTAATCAATGAACTCCAACGAAAAAGGTCCATGTTCCCCGGGAAAATTTCGATTTCTAGATGGCGGGAAATGAGCTTTCCTGACTTCTGAAATGTATTTTAAGTTCTTCAAAATTCAAGGTTTTCCCCTCTTGAAAACAGTCAGGTAAATTTTTCTCAAATTTTATTGTATGTGTGTATACATACGGTATATAAACAAATGAGTAGTTGCATGCGTATTCTTTTTGCCACGAATCGATAAATCCCAAAAAGAAAGGGTGGTCCAGGGGTTCTTCCCCTTGAAAATTTTGATTCCTTGATGGCGGGAAATGAGCTTTCCCGACATTTGAAGTGTGTTTTAATGACTTTTATGTTGTTCTTTTCCCCCCTAGGACAATTTCCCCCTAGGACAATTGCCCCCCATGCATTATATTTTATCTCAGTTATACTGTACATATTCCCAATACATTTTATTTCGTTCTCCTCCTTCTTCCCTCCTTTTTTTCTTGCATTTCCGATCATACAAAAATCTCCAGACATTATATATTTTTTGCCAAAAAGTGGGGGGTAATGTCTCAGCTGATGAAAATCTCCAGTGATGACAAAACCCGTATCAGGGTGCCTAAATCTTATAGTATCCATACAATATATGATGTGATTTGATAATGCTCTATCGTTGGATCAAGGTGGGTGATAAACAACCCCAACAGTAATATTTGCATCTTTCTGGGTAGTCTTTTCGGGAATAATGTACCCAATAGTGTCTATAATTCCACCTCCTGCACTATCCTGTCTATATCTTCTGGCAATGTAAAATTGTTTATTGACACGATATTATCAGGTACAATACCTTGACGAAGGTGAGTCTCAGTATAGCAATAAGATCCGGGAAGCAATTTTTAATTCGGAATCTCAATTTGTCGATTTTGTTACAAATGGATAAAGCATTCGTCATAAACAATGACGGGATATTCCACCTTCCCGAGTTCAAAATCACCAAATTGTCCAAACCAACTAATCTAGGGGGCTTTGGTCTACCTGTTGGGCGGCGACTGTTTGTAATAGAAGGAATACTGTTTGTATTACCGTGATAGATAAGTGTAGGTCTAGCCTTCTTCCTTGCCACTCTATGTCCGCTTCTACACGGTCTGTTGTTTGTAGGCTTAAGTCTGTGGTCAGCACAGGTGTTATCATACGCGGGTCTAACAAGAGCAGGGCAGGCGAAATTTGTCCACATGTACGGCTCAGTCAAGCAATAAACTGGCCCAAGAATATGATCGATTTTATGCTGGAAAATTATTAGTATCATGAGAGAAAATCACACAAACGCAAATCAAAAATCTTCAATTTAAGAGAAGACAGGACAATTGCCCCCCATGCATTATATGTTATCTCAGTTATACTGTACATATTCCCAATACATTTTATTTTTTTAATTTTTCATAATTTTAAGTAGGTAGATAGTTATTCATATGATATTTAGTTCACTCAATAAGACTGAAGGCCAATTTGTAATATTATTTAAACTATGCACTAACAAATTAAATAACTTCAATACAAGAAATATGTGAAGGTTTACATCATCTCTTTTATTATCCTTTATTTATTCAGTTTGACAAAGTATCAAGATTTATAAAATGTGAAATTATAATTAATAAAATGATCCAACTTTTAAATTGAAGTACTTTTATTTTGTAGTTATGCTTATTTAATAATGTAACAATATAGATTAAACAAGGTTATTACCTTTGTCTACATTACATAATCTAAATCATCTAGCCTTTTTTCAGTTCCACAAGTAACAAGATCTACATAATACAGGTAGTATGAAATGAAAAAATATATATATATAAATATATTAATACTGTAATACTGAAGTACTTTTCCTTAATTACCGATTTAAAATGCAACAATTTTTACATAATTATATTTTCTAATACTGAAGTACTGTACTATGGCCTATCTATTGTAACTTATTTAATAACTATACCTCTACTTAAAATTATGAAAAATAAAACATTAAAATGTATTGGGAACATGTACAGTATAATTGAATTGAGAAAATATAATGCGTGGGGGGAATTTTCCTATGGGGAAACTGCCCTAGGGGGGGCAAAAGTCCGGGGGCCTAATGTCACGGGGGAAAATTCCGGGGGAAACTGTCCGTAGGGCAAATGTCCAGGGGGCTACCAGCCTGCTCCCAATTGAAACTTCTCAATTGAGAACATATATGTCTCCCATTATCGTCAATAATTTTTTTATTAACTTTTTTTGTAATCGCAGTTATTTTTAATTAGAGTTATACTCCACGGGAGAGAGAAGAACCATAACTACAATATGCTTCCCCCAGCCAAGTAAATCCATTTGAGTTGTCTTTGGTCATGTGTGTTTCTTGTACACATAAAATATCAACACTATTATCATTTGCTCATTTAAACACCCTTAATTGTTTACATTTTTCTCTTAAGCCCCTTACATTAGAAGTAAATATGTGTTTTATTACATAAATCTAATTGTTGCAGTATTTTGCTTTCCTGATGATAATAATACTTTGTCATTAATGCAAAGTCATACAAGTACATGTATATTTTAATAAAAATTTTGTATAACTAATGAATGTTTTTTTAAGTACGGCTGTAGCAATTGATAATACAAGAAAAGAACCATAATAGTCAGGGGCGGATTTAGGGGGTTGGCGGCCCGGCCCCCCCCCCCTCCTTTTGGGAGCTAAAAAAAAAAGAAAAAAAGAAAGAAAAAGAAAAAAAAATGATAGCCCACAACGCCTCAAATGTTATTTTCGGGCGTCTAGAACACAAAAATTTCGCGGGAGCATGCCACCGACCCCCCGAACATTGTTGTCTCGATCGGCCCGAATTTCAGCCCCCCCGCCCCCCCCCCCTTTTGGACATCTCTGGATCCGCCCCTGATAGTAATCACATTGTTATCTCATAAATATTATGGCTTTCAAGGCCTTGCTAGAAGGGACTCATTCGTTTTAACCAGTGCTGTAGTGCGAGATTTGTGTGAGTTAATAGCTTTGACCTAGCAAAAAAATATTTAATCGCAATGTACTGTAGTAAAATCACACTAGATTTGAGAACACGAAAGGCAAAAATATGAGGCATTATTATTTTCTATGTGATTAGTTGGGACAGGAAAATTCAGTAAAAATTAATGTGATGACGTCACTATTGAATTATAATAGATAATAAAATGTAATATATCTTAGAAGCACTCTCAGTATACCTATTACTGAATATTGACGTCAGATTTGAAAATGCCTTAATGCATTTAATTACTAATCAATAGAGGTTACATTATTTAATTTATATTCATAAGCATAACAGATCTTCGAACCTTCATTTTTCCTTAAAATTCAGTTTATTAGTTATTTTCATACTTACATTTCTTTTAAATGATGATTAACGATTTTTACAATCTTTGACATTTTTCTTTGCAGATCTGCTACCAACAACAGCATTCGATCCATTGATGGAGCTTTCGAAGACACGAGTGAGCTTTATCAACTGTATGTTTTCTAAAATAATGTACAAGCTTTTAAAATTAATATGTAAAATATTATTAGCATACAACACAAATAATTGCTAACCATTTCGCTCAATCTTTCTCGAAAAAAAAGAATGTTTCCAAAGGCGGCTGGATTTATTTGCATCATGCATCCATTTGGTGCTCCAGGAAGTAACCAATATGCCACTGACTCCCACCACCCCCCCCACCCCCCCCCCCCCCCCATTTTGACCGTAACCATTTCTAATAATGTATTAATCTGTGATAGTGACCTCATTTCCGATCCCGAATGTCATTTCAATAACGACGAAAAATATAAGCTATGTAGTCGGTACATTAACAGGGGTGTGATAGTGACCTCATATTCAACCTGAATGTCATTTTAATAATGACGAAAAATATAAGCGATGTAGTTGGTACATTAACAGGGGGAGCTGAAACATTCAGTTGTAGACCAGCCTGACCTCTGAAAGCTAAATTATTAAAATTACTAATTAATAGCAAACGTGTTTAAATTAATTAGCTCCAAGTAATGAATCTGTCCATGTATTGCATAAAAGTGCAAAAGAACCTACATTAACTTAACTTATCATACGTTGTACTCTGAAATAATACATAACACAGATATATTTTAACGGGGTTGGAAGCGGGAAATTGTTAAAAATAAATATATTTTATCAGGAGATTAAGCATGGAGGGAAAAAACAATGGTACCTGCAAACAATGGGCTCATTAGTGCTCATTAATTTTCATAACGTTTCTGAAATATTGGAGTCATGACTTCGGTGTAATACAATGTCATTTGGGAAAGTTAAAGGTGATGAACAATTAAACTATAACATTATAAAATATTATTTGCTATTATTTTGATTTTTATTTCCAGAAGCTTAGATGTTAACTTAATTGATCACCTGCAAGCGAGGTTCGTTAGTTCATGGAAAAGCCTCTCCTTGTAAGTATTGATATTGACATTTAAATTCATTTGTACATGGCAAAATCACAGTTAATAATTATTTATGGAACATCATGTGGTTTTCAACGCTAATACTCGTGTAACAGTGAGTTTTCCACTTAAACAGATACATGACCATGGAGTCTGAGCTGTATGCAAATTATATAAATCGTAGAAGTTTCTACTTCTGACCTTGAATTGTGCTTCGCACAATGAGGGCGCGGTTATAGGTGCTTTGCCTTGAGACCTCTGATAATTACTGCCTACAACATTTTACAAAAACCTAATGCAATAATAACCAATTGATTATTAATGTAGATTTTCGCTATATATTTCAGCCGCTCCAATTTTTTTTTTCATATTCTTCCTTCTTCCTGTTCTTATTATTTTATATTGCATTTACTATTGATAGTAACTAAAAATAACAAAATCTAGGCTAGACTAGGGCCTAGAACCTAACATGGAATTTTCGTAAACATTGTGTACATTGTATACTATTGATTATTAATTTAGATTTTCGCTGTATATATTTCAGCCGCTCCAAGTTTCTTTCCTATTCTTCCTTCTTACTGTTCTTATTATTTTATATTGCATTTATTATTGATAATAACTAAAATTAACAAAATCTAGGCTAGACGAGGACCTAGAACCTAACTTGAAATTTTCATAATTCCATCTTCCTATTAAACGCCGGAGTAAGGTTTTTTTCATAATTGGTTATTATTTCATAAAGGCTTCTACGAATGGATGTCTTGTTGTGGAGCAGGACATTAAATTGTCCCTCTCTATGAGTACCGCCTAATTATAAATCGAAGGGAACTCAACCAATAGTTACGACTTCTATCAAATCAAATTGTATGTCCATTTTTGTCTCTCTATGTTTCTTTAAACAAACAATTAATTAAAACCAAAATATTATGAATGATACACCTGATCAAAACATTATGAAGTCACCTAGTAGGTTCATATAAAACATCATTTGATAAAGAAACTCGCGATAAATTCGGAATGCAAACCTAACTATGAAACGTTGAAATAGATTCAAATAGATCTCATCGTGCGCCACAGGCTGTTGCACATGATGTAAAGTGATACAAACGACTATTCAAACGAATTTGGTTTACTACAAATCATTATCTTTAGTAGGCCTATTTTGAAAAAAAAAATAAAGATAGGTAGGTATTTTCACATGATCACTCATGTTGTTTTTATGCTTAATGATCTTTTGTCATTATTTTTATATATTTGTCACTTAGTATTCCCTTTCTTCTTATCTTTTTTGTAGATCATTGTCGTCCAATAAATTGCGGCATACTAACATTGACACAGATGCATTTGCTGGGTTGCAGAGCTCATTTTCTTATTTGTAAGTAGTCAACCTCAGTTCACTTTCACCATTTTAATTATTATGTGTCTAAATCACTAAACTGACATACAGATACAACAACTAATAAACTGGAGAAACAAGTGGCGAGTTTAGATAATTGCATAATCGTGTAATGTTTATACATGAAATTCCAGTATTCAAACCTCAGAATATCACTTACACTCTGACACGGCCTTAGGTACCATTACAATTCTGGTAACTCTTCCTGTAAGTTTCACACAGATCGGATAGGATTGTCACCAAAATACTATGGAATCTTCCATTCAATGTCAAGGGGTCCCAAATTGGAAGATGTCACGTCCAAAGAATGAGGATTTTTAACACATCTAATTCTATTTTGCAGTGTGCGCATGTTGATACCCATCGGAACCGATTCGCCATGCCGTCGGTTTTAAACTGAACAAAAACAACTTTCACGGTACTACCAACACTCTAAATTAATTATACCCATGATAAGCTGAAAATAATATTTATCGTTTCATTAGAACCTCACATAATTGGCAGTAGGTTGACTCTATCGTACGGTGGTAAATTTGAGAGTGGTTCGAATCGAAATCTCGCTCTATTTCATTTCATTTCTTTTATTTCAGACAAGTCCATAGTGGTTACAGGTATAATATATTAAATAAAAAGGAAAAGGGTCTAAAAACAGACCTAAATTAGCTACAATAATAGCTCACTCCATTTTCAATATAAAAAAGAGCACTTAAATATATCAAACATAATGAGTCGAACAAGGCTATTACCCGAGTTGATTAACCGACTCCAAAAACTATATGCACATTTCCTCATTAATTCATAAAATGAAGGAATACCAACAGAGACAAACATACCACTAGCACTGCAGTGCTTGGGTTTATGTAACAACATCCTAAGTGAATTGTTATAACACACTTGTAAGTCCTGAATGGTTTTAACTCTGAAGTTACACCATAAATTAATGCCATACAAATTAGTACAATAAGAACGAAAAATATAACATTTGGTATCAAGAGAACAATTACTAAATCGTCGACAAGTAATATTGGACCTAACACATAAGGACCTGTATTGCCTCTTGATGTCATAATCATCATGCATATCACTAGAAAGTATGTGACCAAGATAAGATACTGATGGTAAAAAGCTTAACTTCTTATTAAGTAAAGTAATAATAAATTCATCTTTGATTTTTCTATTATTTGAAGAAAATTTCATACACACTTTGTATTGTAAATTACATCATGAGTCTGGGCGTAATCTTCACAGATATTGACCAATGACTGCAGCCCTGAAATAGAGGGAGCCAATATACAAAGATCATCTGCATAACTACAGTTATTCAATTTTATACCACCAAATTTACATCCATGTCTGGATGCACTTAACGTATCATTTAAATCATTGTTGTATATGTTGTACAAAAGTGGAGACATTATGCCCCCTTGGCGTACACCATTCATTTTATATGTCCAGTTGACGACATATTTACGCAAATGCAAATTTAGCAACAACGCAACAACCTTTTATCGTTGACTAAGTCAAGTAATATTCATTTCATTCTATACAATAATACCAACTTGTTCAGTATGTGTGGTGATAATTCATAATAATAATAAGGAGAATGTAAGTACATATAATTTATCATTTCGTAAAAAAAGGATTCTGCGAATAAGCATGTTTATAGTTGCAAAGCCCTAATATAAATTAACAAAAACTTTAAAAAATGGCATAAAGGAGCTACGTTTTTCATCAATGTAATTAGGCATCAATTATGATTAATGTTAATGTATTATTTATTTAATTGGTTCATGAAAGTTAATTCCAAAATATACAGTTGTTTACTGTATACATCAAACTATCTCATTTTCGTAAACCCACATACCTCTTATTTAGTTTATATTTAAAGGAACAAATGCTTTTACAAACTTTCAACCCCGTTCAACCATCACGTTCCGATAAAATCCAAACGCGTTCGAAGTACCTCTTTACCTTGGCTTGATGTTGAAATTACCCGACTTACGTGTCAACGAGATCGCGCTCATAAAATTGCGAAACAATCTAATTCAGAAAATGATTAGGACGCATACAAAAAAAAAACTACGGAATACCGTAACCAATAGCATCCGTAATAAGAAAAAAGAATATTTCACATCAGCCATTGAAGCAAACAAAGGTGACTCTTCCATGCTGTGAAAGAAGATAAAAGAGACTCTTCAGAATAAACCGAAGTCAGTTCCAAATTCAATCAATTCCATAAATGGAAAAAATATTAAAAATCAAGCCGAAATTGCTGATATATTTATGAACATTTCTCCACAATTGGAGAACGTATGGCAAGCAGTGACGACGTCACGCGCGAATTTGAAATGGACAATGTCAATTTGTCTCATTCTGAAACCAATTTAGCAATGTACTCTGCCTAATATCACGGAAGATTTTGTTCGAAAAAAAATCAAATCAATGTCGGCTAGCAAAGCAACTGGTCCGGATGGCGTTAGTGTAAAAATGCTAAAGCTAGCGTTTCCGTACATTATTAAATCATTAACGCACGTATTGAACCTCTCGATAAAAAGTGAACAGTATCCCTCAGATTGGAAACATGCATTGATCACACCGATTCACAAAGGAGACAAATGCAATATAATCAATTATAGGCCCATTCCAATACTTCCGATTATTTCAAAGATTTTGGAAAGATTGGTGCACTCAGCTGTTTATTCAAAAATAATCGTATTCATCGCTGCTAATCGTGGTTTAGATCGTTGCATTTAACTGAAGCAACATTACATGACTTAACAAAAGAATGCCTTCATGCTATGGAGCGTGGTGAAAAGACTGGTACTGTTTTTATAGATCTCAGTAAAGCATTTGACTCTGTAAACCATACAATTCTCCTAGATAAACTTGGGCATATGCATATGTCAGCTTCTGTTATTATGTGGTTTACATCTTACCTAAGCGATCAAATTCCATCTCTTAATATTGGTGGGAAATTATCAAAACCTTTGTCATTAAATATTGGCGTACCACAAGGATCGATTTTGGGACCACTGCTATTTATTATTTATACCAGTGATCTGCTACCTTGTATCCCTCTAAACTGTAAACTATTTATGTATGCTGATGACTCAACGTTAACCTGTTGTTCCTCAAGTGTTAAGGATATTGAAAATAAATTTAATGTAGCACTTGACATAGTTAACAATTGGGCCATTAGAAACAAACTTACAATTACAGTAATAAAAACAAGACTAAATCCATGCTCTTTGGATTCAAAAATAAAATTTCCAATGTAGACTTTAATGTCACTCTTGGCTATACTGTAATTTGTTAGAACGAAATCATGTAAGTGTCTTGGTGTCATCATTGACAAAACTTTGAGTTGGACACCACATGTTGAATTTGTCAAGAAAACAGTTTCATCCAAATTGGGTATGTTAAGTAGAATAGGAAATTGTGTCCGCCAAAGAAGCCTTAACACTCTGTTCGTAAGTTTAGTTAGGCCATCTTTGGACTAATTCTGCACAGTATGGGGAGGTCGTTACATATCCCACAATAACTTACCTAACAAGTGTATAAAAAGAGCAGCAAGGATAGTTTTAAAATGTGATTTTCTTACCCCATCTGCAGATATTTTTGCACAACTCAGTTGGCTTTCGTTTTCTGAAAGGATTACATATAAAAAAGCTATACTTGTTTATAAATGTATTAACCGATTGACACCTTTATACATGACAAACCTTTTCACACCGTTATTGCAAACTCGTGAAACGAAACAGTCAACTCTTATGAAGTTGAAGGTTCCTTTTTCGAAAAGCGAAAGTTATTCCACTAGTTTTAAGGTGACAGGGGCGAATATATGGAACGACTTAGATATTGATTTGAGAACTGCAACTTCCCTAAACATATTTAAATACAAATTGTACAAGGTACTAATTAAGAAAATATAACCGGTTACGACCACGAGCTTTAAATGCAGGGGCCAATGGAAATCAGTGTTTTAACCGTTTGGGCTACCCATGGTAAATAAATGTAAATAATAATAATAATAACAAGAGCACTCAGTAGAGAGCATACCTCCGCCCACCGCAAAACCCTTTCTATAAAAATAAACCTCCCAAAAAATGTTCCTAATTTACTTCAACCACTACCACTACCACAAGAACTCACTTCGTTCCACTCCTCTTAAAAAACGCACAATAACTCGCCATTCTCTTTCTATAAAATAATTCTTCAAATATATTCCTACTTTCCAACCACCAACCACTATCTACTTTAAAAAAAAATGTTACACTAACACGAAAGTTCCATTTATATGAGTATAACTCGCCAAGCTGTTTTTGAGATATTTTGTACCGTAGAAAACACACAGGACCTTCAAAAATTTGAATGACCCTCAAGTTTACCCGCTAATTTGGATCTTGACCAGTGCTTGGTAATTTATTCCTTGTAACTTTTAGGAAATTTAATTCATATCAGTTGATTAGTTTTTGAGATATCTTGTCCAGGACGTTTACCTTTTAAATGGTCCTCACATCCACACCCTACTCCGGACCGTCACCTAAAACTAATCATTTCTTCATTGGGTTATACCAAACACTCCCTGTCATTTTCAATTTTGACTTTGCAGCCGTTTTTGAGATATTTTGTACACAAGAAATAACTGAAACAGCAAAGTGTTACACACACAAACATTACAAAACGAAAACATATATATACTGTATATATATTTGTTCAACGTTTGATCTTTTGAAGTCAATGACAAATTTATGTTTATTATACAAAACGAAAACTTAGATCTCCTGGCGGAGATAATAATAATAATAACTTATCCGATAAATTGTTCCACATCTTTGACTCCTTGTTAATATATATATAACAATGGCTGGATCTCGGTAGAGATACAAAAATGATAAGCAACAGCTAAAAAGTAAACGTAAGTAAACAGCCAGAAATAGAACCAGAGCTTTCGGACAACATTAGTTCTTCCTCAGTGGC